TACAACAGGCTCGTTAACTGGCCCCTCAAATTCGTCCTTCACCCTCCATTGATTCAAGAAGGACCAAAAATCAGACCATAACATTCTCCTGTTTAACCCTTCTACCACTCCCATCACATATCTTCATGCAAAAACACAAACTCATTAGCAAGGCATACAAAAATCACCCATTTAATCTTATATTTAGCCATTACTTGCTTCAAACTTCATGTTCAAGCAGCATAAAACTGCTTGCCCTTTCCTCCCGTCATATGCTTCAAGTATTTACCTCTATTTTTATTTCTGCTGATTAGCTCTTCTGTCTGAACCTCCCATGTATCATTTAAGAATCAGTTTATGACATCCTCTAGAAAGCTTCCCTCTCCCACTATTTTAGGTTTTGATACTACTGGGTATCATTTCCTTATTACACTGTATTTTAATCTCAGAACAGCAACATAAAGTAGATGTTAAAGGACAACCTAACCACACTGCCTAGGTTCAAACTCTGGCGCTGCTACTTAGTGGGTGTGTGACCTTGAGCAGGATGATTAACAAATTGGCGCCTCAATTCTCTCATCTGAGAATGGGGATGATAATTCTTTCTAGTGTTTAGAGTTATTATAAGGCAGTGCCTGTCACTGAGAAGTGCTAAATAAGAATCAGCTCCACAATTATCTGTGTTGGTCTTCCCGCTAGGTTACCCAAAGGCAAGGACTTTGGCTTGGTCGTTACCCTACAACATAGTAAGTATTCAGTAAATGCTGCTGAACAACTGGTGAGGCAGCTCTAGGCTGGACAGGACTACCCAGTTTCCTTCTTTTAAGCAGTTTCACACTTATTTTTCAATTGTACTGTTTCCCATTTTGTAGCTCCAATTATTTTTTGCTTATTCTAACCAAAACCCCGATACTTCACACTCACCTAATTAAAAGCTAATCAAATGAAACCAATAAGAGTATCAAAAAAAGTATGCTCATTCCAAGAAAGCCTTAAATCTATTTAAGATCTCCCTTCATCCCAAAGCACCTAGTCCAGCAAAAGCCTTTATGCTTTCACACATGCTATTCCCTGCTCTACGTCCAGCTCACTCTCCTCCAGAAGTTTTTTTTCTGATTCCAGGATAATGCAGATGCCTCTCTTCTGTGACTCCAAAACTATATCCACATCCATTGGATGACAAATAATGTATCATTCAAAGTGGGATGCTCTACCTATCAGCACACTCACTGGCTGTAATTATGTGGCTCCCCTGCTTTGTGAAGTGAGCACCTTGAGATCAGGGCATTGTCTTAGTCATCACTAGTACCCTCTGAGCCTCTAAGAGTTGCCTGACATTTAGTTGATATTTGATCAGTTTCTGAATGAATAAATGTGGAAGCAGTTAAGTTGTATTTTGCTTATCAACCTTTTGCTTTATTTCAATCATGGCAACTTTTATATAGTGGTCAAAAATTTACACAGCACTTTCCCATATATTATGCCATTTTATTATCCTCATTTTACAAATGAGGAAACAGGTTCAGTGGTTGATAACCACTTTTAAGTAGAAAATGGGACTCAAACTCTGACTTTGTTGATTCAGAACCTAAGTTTCAGTTTTTATAAACCAAACGACACTCTTCCTGGCAGTGACTATTAACAGTGTCCCTCTGGAACATTCTAAGCCTCTCAGAGTCACCCCATTCTCATACAGCCCATATTGTATTGCATAATGTCCTGCCCCTTCCCCATCTCCTTTTCATCTGCTGACTTTCAGTGCCCATCAGAGCAAGCCCTACCCTAATACTAAGATTTAAGGTAGGCATGGAGCACTTCAGTTATCTCTAAAAATGATCAAGTGAATCTCAACTCACATAGACAATGAGCAGAAAATCTGGTTGGTGATTTAATTATTTATTTTTCCAATTTTACTTTGAAAACGATTTTAAACTCAAAGCACAGTAGTTTAAAAATAAACACCCATACCCCCAAAAGCCTCAAATAACTAATGTTGTGATTAAACTTCTATGTACTGTTTTGGGGCTTGTTTTCAGAACAGCATCAACTACGTCACAGGTCATTCTTGAATATACCAGGCTAAGTATTAAGTGATTTTGTACTTAAGATCTCTCATAGTTATTATATAAGCCACAGTATTAGAAGTTTTTCTTAAATAGGTATCATCTCATTCCTTGTCACATCTGAAAACTGTAGTTTTTAATTCCCTTCTTTCCTCTAATCTTTCTTTAGTGTTTGGCATGCTACCTCTGGATACTGATCAAGAGGAACCCTCATCCCACAGAGGCTTCTCGGCAGTGGTCCTCATGGCAAGAATACCAACTCCTTCCCAACTATAAATTATGAAGCTCTCTACAAATGTGAGGGTTTTGTTTTAATGAGTTTGGCTGGTATAAATCAACCTATAAGAGGCTGGACATCAACATTAATATTTTTAAAAGTGTGAGAACTAGCCCACGAAGGTACAGTAAATACTTCAAAAGGGCAAACCTAAAATAGCAGCTCCGTTGTATCTAAGCTCTCATGTCTATTGCTTAATCACAGAATTTTAAACCAGCCCAATGTAAAACACTCCCTTTTCCTCTACCTGGCCAGTTCTCACCAACCTGAGCAGTGAACAGAGCCCATGAGCCCATGAATCACCACAGGCCATCCTTAGGCAGGGTGAGGCACACCAGCAGCAGTTAGGATCAACTAGCTTTAGGATCAAATATTGCCTCCTCTCATGTTAAACTGGCTTTTAAGAGTGATTCTCTCTGGAGAGGGGGAGTCAGGATGACTTCCATTTTTGTATTTATATACTTCAGTATAGGCTGAATTTTTATAAACAGCATGGATTTCATAATAAATTATTTCCATTTAGAGAAAAAATAGACCTGAGTCACTTTTAATTTGGTTCACATAAGAGTATGAGAATAAAGTAACGTCAGTATTTTATGGTAAGAGATACTAGCACAATTAGAAAATGCCAGGAAAAAACATCCTAGAGACAAAACTGATGTCTCAAGCAGATGTTTTTCAAATATACCTTAATTTTTTTGGAAAACAACAGACTATAGCTTAAAAATAGGAATCTAAAAAAATATTCTGTATTTTTATCCCAAATGGTGTCCTCCCTTTTGGGCTAAAAGATTAATAGCAAAGGCTTAATTAACACTTTTCCTGGCTGGTGAAGGAGAGGCCTGAAACCCAGCACTTCTTTTCTCCTGCACATTAGAATAGGAAATGGTGCTGCTAGAAAGAGACACCCTTTAAAAAACTACATGAACGGTATCTTCCCCAGAGCCAGGCAAAAAAAGGAGAATGAGTAAACAATACAAAAATTTAGCAGCCTTAGAACGAAATCAAAACACAAGGTCAAGAGCAAGTGGCTGAGACTGTGCTCATGCCCTGCAAAGGTCCTGGTTAAATATGGTTTCTCTTTTATATGTGTTTCTCTTTTATGTGTGCACCAGGGCTCCCTCAAAGTAGGCCATCATGTTGGAGTGGGGAGAACAGAAAGGCTTCAGGAAACACTGCCCAAACTGAATTACTATCCTATACCACAAAAATTTAGTCATAATGGTGAAATCTGCTTTTAAAATGAATGTAAGACATTAATTGAAGGCTCCACTGCAAAATCTTTACTCATCTTTAGAAAAGCATTTCATCCTCCACTTAGCTTCAGCTTTCTCTAAGATGAAGAAGCCCCATCTGGTTCCCAACGCCATTTAGTTATTATTGAGACTTGATCAGATATTAAGCAAGTGATTCAAAATGAAAGCTCTGAGGTTCTGATGGCCAGTCATCATTCAAGCATCACCACTTTGTATCCCAATTCTCCATCATATCCATCTGTACTAACAAAATTTCACAGAATCTAATTTCTCCATTTAAAAGAAGGCGGTGGTTGTTTTGAGGTTAAACTTAGAACTGCATCCCTCATCAAATCTGCTCCAGAATGCTATCAACTTCAGCTCAGGAATCTGATTCTAAGTGGTCTCCAAAAGCCTGAGACCACTCCTTGGGTTCGAGTGTCAATGGGAAAAACTGTTCTGGAGTAGTTTCCCGACCGTGATACACACTGTCTGAAAATACACTTAGACCAATGGAGAATCTGCACGTACCTACCACAATTCTGAAGCTCGACTCAGGAATATTATTACACTTACACAAATGCCCTACTATCCCCAGAAAACATTAAGGACTTCATCAACATCTCCCTGACGCTCCCAATTTGAAAAATGTCATGTCAACCTTTCAAATCACGTAGACGCGTTGCTTAGGCAGAAAGGGAGATTAGGAGGGTGGCTGAGCTCGGACCCAAGTCTATGTATTTTAGTGGTAATGACTCCCGATCTACATCCAACACATTTACCGTACACTAAGAGAAGTTCTAATAAGCGCCCACCAGTGGAATCGAAACCGCTTTCTTCCCAGGAAACAAGGTATTTTCCACTGAAAGTTCCCAAACCCTTGACCTACCACTTTTTACTGAACAAAAAACGTGTGTGCCGGCAAGAGGGGGTGGGAAAGAGCGTGGCAAGAATTTGCACGGCTCTTACGCCTCCTCCCTCGGAGCGCGCCCAAGTCTACGGCCTGGGGCTCCAGGACACTTCCCCTCCCACCCGCCCTGGAGCCGCAGCTGTGAGTCGAGAGAAGCGGGCCCTGGACACGTCAATCAACGGGTCCTCCCGCCTCCCGTCTACACCTCCTCTCCCCTCCCCCCTCCCCCCCAAAAAATAAAGGCAGAGAAAGAAAGGGAAAAGAAGCCAACTAATTTGGGAACTAGTCTCCGCGGAGGCTTAGCCTCGGACCCTGGAAGGCCGCACGTCCCGGAACAGGAGCGTCGGCGGGCGGCAGGATCCAGGAGGCGGCCCGGCAGCCGCCCGTCGCTGGGTCCTTGCAGCGCGTCCCCCGCGCTCCGACTCCCCGCACCGGTCGGCGCCGCTCCGGCCCCGCACTCGGGCAGGCCAGCGGCCCGCCGCCCTCTGGCCCAGGTCAAAGTTGCGCAAATAGCCCCACAACTGGCAAATACTTACCGGCTGTAGCAGAACCGGGACTGCGGAGATTTTAGGGAGTTTAAGTCAAATCAGCCGCGGGAAAGGCGGGCGAGGCGAAGGGGCCGTGAGCTGCAGTGGCGGCGGCGCGCAGCACTCGGGCTGGGCTGCGCGGAGAGGCTCTGGCTCTGCCAGGGACTGTGCTGCAACAAAGGACTTCCGCTGCCGCACAGCCGCGCCTGCCGCACCGCACTGAGCCGGCCCCGCTTACGCGGCGACTCCGGGTCTGCCCACCAGTTCGCTGCGGCGTCCGCCAGCCTTCCCCTCCCTCTCGCCCGCCCACCCACTCCGCCGCTGGCTGCTAGGGGCACCCGCGGTCTCCTGTTTGTTGCAACAAGTTTCTGCGTCGGGCTCCGAGGTGGCTGGCGCAACCCGCACCGCGGGGGCCGGCGCGGCGGCAGCTTCACCACCCCTCTCGCCCCACTTCCCAAGGGTAGGCTTGGGACCTCCTCCTCCTCCTCCTGTTTGCACAGCTGGATGGGACTGGGCTCCTCCCGACTCCCCAAGGGCAGGATGCTGCTTTCTCAGTCAGTCCAGATGTCAAACCCCAGCGCTATAGGGCCTAGCAGCTGGGCCCTCCCTCGAGGTACGTCCCCGGCGTTCTGGGGGCGCCGGCACCCTTGCTCTGTCCCGCGCGCGGCCAGTCCGTTCAGGGTCGCCCATTCCCCGCGCTCCCCCGACTCTGCCTTCCATGGGCCTGTCCGCCTCTGGCCTTGAGTCACTTCCCTTGCCGTGCCCCACCCTGCCCAGCCCGCCGCCCCTCCCAAGCTCTGGAGGCTCCGCTTCCCTGGCCCAGCGCCCTCACCCCTCTCCTCGCGAGCACGCGGGCGCATCCTTGTCCACCCCCACCCTCGAGCTGAGGAGGTGCCCGTGCTTTTGCACACCCTGGGAAGAGTCCCCGGGTCACGCGTTTGTGTGTGGGGAGCCTGTGTCGCTCAAGCTGGTCTCCAGGCTTCCGCCTACAGAGTCACAACTAGGGAGCGTGCCGGAGGCGCCCAGAGCACTGGCGGACCGCGGCCAGGCAACTTCAGCGAGCTGGCGCGCACGTAGGCACGCACGCACGCACACCCGGCTCCCCGCTTCTCATTCTTTGGTTACCAGGCGCGCGGTCACGTGGGCCCACCGCCGGGCGGCTGGCGCGGGAAGCCGTGCGAGAGCCGGCCGCGGGGTGCGTGTGCCGGCGCCGCCGCGTGACGTACACGGCGCGGGAGCCGCCCCTCCTGCACGGAGGAGCTGGCCGGCTGCCGCGGCGGCGTCTGGGTAAGCAACGCGGCCCGGCCCCTGTGGGTTTCTCCGGGCTCAGTCCCTCCCGCCGCGAGCCGCTTGGGGCAGCGGCCTGCAGCTGCGCCGGTCGCGGGACAGATGCAAGTAGCTGGGGAGAGGGGTGTTTTTCGTCCATTTCACATGTCAGTCAGGGCACAGGAGGAAAATGGCAACCTGGAGTGAGCGCTGGGCCGAGGATGCCCGAAGCTGTCCTTCGATGCCCGCAGAGGGCGGCTGCCGGGGCCTGGCGCAGGTCGGGACGGCAAGCGGGAGCGCAGCAAAGGCATGGAAGCTTCCTCGCCGCGGTCGAGCGACCCTGCGCGGGAAGCCCCGACGGGCCCGCGGCGTTCCCCGGGCTGCCGCGCCGACTCTTTTCGCTAGTGAGGGGGGGGTCTCCAGGTGCAAACGGCGAGACTCTGCGGCCACTGTCCTCTCTCCCGCCCACACCTCCGTTTGTGATTATCCCTTTTTTAGGACAGGAAGTACTCCCCCAGTAATTCATTTCTTTCTTTTTTAAGATTGCAGTAATCTCATTCTTGGGCAAATCCCGTTTTTCTTTTTAAAGTTTGCCCCATGTGTCACTGCCTTCCCTAGCATTCATTATTTGGATAGAGCAAGCTGTTACCAAGCTGCTTAGGCAGCGCCTAGCGCTGTACCTGGAATTTGACAGGAGCTAACCTGTCCTCATGAATTATGCCCGTTCCCCTCTGAAGGATTAGATTTGGCATTCATTCTTTTAAGACTTAAATCTTTTTGACAAGTCTGTTGATTCTCATAGTGTTTTGTTAAGTGTTTAAAGTCCACTTCGGTATTACAGATTTTTAAAGCTGAAAGGGGCCTCTCCGAAAATCCAGTGCATCCCTCTCAGTTTGTAGATGAGGACACCCTGCCTAGAGTAAGTGTGGCTTGATCCAGGTCCTACACCTCTTGCGTAACGACTTTAGGGCTCTAGATGTCTTGGTCGTTGGGCTGTCCACCACACCAGGAGTGCAGTGCCAGTTTAATCCACTCACTGTTACAGGCTAATCCCCAGAAGTGATGGTACTTGACTTAATTCAGATAACTGAGAAATCAGGCTTGGCTGGTGTATCGTATCTTAAGGAACGGGGTTGGCAGTACTTTCAGGTGGAATAGACTGCCTGTGATGTACTTCGGATCTCAGAGTTCGCCCCCCACCCCAAGATTTGTCCCTGTTCTCCACAAGAACAACCAACATTTGCATTATTGGTTGCTTGGTTAGGTTAAGGCATCAAAGTCCTCTTTAGCAATATGGATATGTTTTAATTAAGGGTAAGTTATTAATCTGTTATCAGACATCAACTCCTTAACAGGGAGCAACACTGATGGGACAAGATGAGTAATGAATTAGGTGATGGCCGAGAGGTTACAGAGAAGCAGTAGAACATCACAGGGATGGTCAGCAAGAAAGGAGGGAGGGACTTCACAATACTTGGCACACCTTTTTGCCCAGCTCTGCCCTGAACGTCTTATTCAGAGGTAGTGAAGATGGATTCTGCTCAGCTTTGGGTGCAGTTTACTGAGTGGCCAGCTGCTTTATAGATGAATTTCGAATACTTATCAAAAAGGAGTTAGTATTGTCTCCATGTTACAAATGAGAGATTTACCTGGCTTCTATAATGCAGTAATTTGCAGTAGAATTCAGGCCTTGATTATTTATCTCCCAAGTCCAGTCAGTGCTCCTTTGCATCGTATCTTGTACCACTTTAAGCCAAGAAGGGGATGAGAGAATCGCCTGTGGCTGATTTATTGGCGCCTGTGGTTGCCCAGAGAGGCCAAGCAGGACTTTCAGCTGCCCTCTATGCCTTAGAAAGTGGAGCTGTGTGCTTCCACCCTATCTCCTGAGGGGAATGCGAAGGAGCCAGTCTGTCTAGCCGGCGAGGAGGGGCTGAGTGCCTTGGCCATAAAATGTCCTGGTGAGGGCTGTGCTGGGAAGTGTTGCATAATGCCCTCCCCAATACTGAACCAAAGAGATTTATTTACAGTGGTCCATAGGTGGTGCTTGACCATCCTGTAAAAGAAAAACTTGTCAATTTTAGTAATAACAGGACCAGAAAAGAGTATGTTATTGCAAGGCTCTTTTCTTAAAAAAGCAGTGCAGGTGCTCTTATCTTGATAAATTATAAAGTGCTTATACACCACTTCCTGTGTCCCCTTTCTGCATATTTATTCCAAATTGCATGTGAAGTTCAGTCTAAGAAAAAAATACTGCTCCAGTTTATAGTTACCAGCCTAGACTATGGAGTCAGACTTAGCCTTTGATCCCCACTTTATACTATTTGCTAGTTGTATGTCCTAAGCCTAGGTTTTTCCTCCTTTGTAAAGTGGAAATAAAAATAGCACCGTGTAGTCCCAGGGAGGACTAAAAGAGAATATACACAGAGCACTTTTAGCACAAGTCTTTGCATATATAGTATTTACTAATAGTAGCTACTGGTAATAACTAGAACAGTATTACTCCCTCTGTGATAGGAAAGATATAGCTACCTGAACTTGCTTAAGGAAAGTGGAGGAAGAGGAAAGCTAGTGTTTGAAACAAGCATCAGTTTCAGTAGTACTGAATTTATATTAACACTTCTTTTCCTATGGTAGTAGAAATTTTTTTTAAACCTTATCTGAAGAAAAAGTGTATATACTATTTAGTTATTTTTGTAATTTTTCCCCTGGCTACATATCAATCATACAATGACTTCTTGTTACTTCTGAAAAACTCTGGACACTTTTAAGCAAATTAGGCCATGTGGGTAACGTGTTTGTGGAACATTCCAAGACAAAGGAAGTATTGGTTCACCTATATTCAGAAGTTACAATAATTCTTGTTTGTATGTATTCTAGGTTCAGCTGGCACTGTTATTTTCTACCTTTCTCCTGTCCTTTGAGGACCTTATTTTTCTTTCAGAAGCGCAGTCTTTTTTTTTTTTTTTTTAGTTGAGTAAGGAGACTCCTTTGCTTCACCGGGTTCTGGTTTTTTTCAGGTCCACCAGCAGTTTGCACTCACCAGTGTTAGCATTCTTGTTTGCCTGGTGGTGTGGCTTTATCAGGCGTCCCACGTGTTGGTTAGGTGGGGGTTGGAGATGTACTAGGGCTGGCGGTGTTTGCTAACAGGCAGGAGGCCCCAAACTAACATTTCACTGTTCCGTTCAAGGTTTCTAGAGCATAGGAACTACTCTTCCACGTGGTATCATCTACCATTTCTGCTTTCTACCTCTCTGAGTTTCTCAAATGCTTAATATTCATAAGTAGATGCCCAGCATACTGCACTTTTTACTTCAAACATTTTCAGATTTGGAATTTCCATGTCATTTTTAGATACTCTGAAAATAAGTGTAATGGCATATGAGAATAAATACATCTATTTCCTAAATACTTTTTAATAAGTCTGAAATGGCTTGGTCCTCTGTCCCCAGTGCCCACCTTACTAGTTTGGGAGCAGTTTTGTTTCTTAATCTGGCTAATTTTTTGTTTTAAAGTTACAATTGGTATTACGATTTTTGATTTTTGTTCATTTAGTGTAATAGGTGTAATTTCCACATTTTGAGCACTTCTTGTGAAATTGTTTCTGTTCCTCTGTACTTTTAGAGTGTGAAGTACTCTCTTGGGTTTCCTTGGTCACCTTTCTTCTAACACAGTGTTCTTAACTGAGGCATTGTATGAGAAACACCTGAGTTGTCTTTCAAACGGGTCATCTGTAACTCACCCCCAGCATTTCTGTTTGGGTTAGTCTGGAATAGGACTGAGGCATCAATAAAGCTCTACATCAAGTTTTACAATACAGTCAGCAATAAGGGCCACTATTCCAGGATTGAATGATTTCTGCAAATATTTTATCTGTAGGTTATAAAATATTATACCACCACAGTCATGTGAAATTGTCATTAAAAAGTTAAAATCATTGTATAAGTCTTCTATCATGTAGTACTTTGAATATTTCTGCTTTTGCCTTTGTATTTATAGCCATGAGTAAGTGTCTCAAAAAAGCTATACAGA